TTTCTAAATATTTCTAATGTTGAAATTTTCATGCATTCATGAATTATATTAAAATTATATATTCAAAATAGAAGGTCACAAATCGCCTTTCTAAGAAATGACAATCAAATGAAAATCAGTTACTTGTTATTTTTCAAATAAAATATTGTATAAATTTTTCTTTTTTTCAATAAGAAAATTATTTTCAAAAAATTACAATTATCAAATTAATTGATTAATATAAAAACATTCAGTTTCAATTTATAAGATATTTTAAAATTTTATAATATTTATAAAAATTGAGTAATTCTTAAATAAATCAATGTAAAAAGTTACATAAAAATAAATAGTTATAAAATGTTATCTAAAAAAAAACTAGTATTGATTTTCATTTAAATATTGTTTTATATCATTTTTAAATATTATCTATTATACAACATAATTATAACACTTATCTAAAATTATTTTTTATCACAATATTAATTTTATTAAATCATTTATTAAATCGCAATATTAATACTTACAATTTCGAATGTTTATTTACAAATTTCTTCCATAAAATATTGCCAGATATATTTTTAAATTGTAGAAAAATGTTCAAAAATCACAAACTTGATGAAAAAAATTAAATAATTAAATGAAGAATAATAATAATAAATAAATTGATTAAAATGATATTTTTTTTCATACAGATTTATAATAAATTAGCAAATGAGATTTTTTTGGTTAAATAACATGTATAGCCTTACAAATATAATGCACAAAATTTTTTGTTGGAATATTATCCGTTGTTTATAATCGAATGTGGTTGCAGTTGCCAGAGGCAAAACCTCGAACTTGGCGTCTAGTCCTAATTAAAAAAATTTAATATTGTTTTGTTACCATTTCCCATTACAAAAATAATTTATAAAACATATATTTATACACATAGATCAGCGTTTCTCAATCGTATTCTAAAAATATTTTTTAAAATAATACTTATTATATTATTTCATATCAAATTGATTATATTGTATATACTTTTAAATAATAATTAATAAATTTATTTAATAAATTAAATTATATATAGATTATTATAACAATAAAAACATAGTAAGTGATTGAGAAATGCTTTTTTTATGCAATATGCATGAATTGTATAACATGCATATGAAAAATATCTTGAATATATTATAATTTAATATTTGCTTTTTTTAAGATAAGTCTTAGAACTCTATTTATATTAAATATTTTATATTAATTTATAATTTGAACACAATAATGAATAACAATTTTATGCTATGCAAATTTAATTATTCAAGTAGTTTAATACAATATACTAGATAATTTTATTGTATACAATTTATGGATATGATTAACAAAAAGAAAATGACACATAAAAATCATGCATAAAAACATATTTTATATATATATATATATATATATATATATAAATTAACAATGCATTATGCGAAAATATTAAATGTTTTAGAAAAAAAATTGTTAATTAATTTTCTAATTATAAAAAAAATAATAATAATATCAAATTAAAAATATAATTCTCAAAAAATATTATTTTGATTTTTACATTAAAATATTTTTAAGTTGAATCATAAATGTCTTATAAATTATACAATTTCATTGTTAATAATTCTATTTCATATTGTTTTTATGAAATAATAATTCTTTTATTAATAATAAAAATAGAAATAGCAAAATTAATTATTATATATATAATTTATATTAAGCACTTTGCATTGCTGATATCATAATTCAATAAAAATATTTTATTTTATTGCACAAATTTACTTTTCACTTTTAGTAAATATATACAATTGTTATATACAAGAACATATAAGATATAAAATATAAATTTCTTAATTTGTTTCTAATTCATAATATATAAAATTTATTATTTCTATTGAAATCTAGCAACTTTTCACAAAAGTTATAATTATTTTTATAACTTGGCAAAATACAATTTTTAAACGAATTTTTTTTTAATAATATGAAAAATTCTTAAATTATATTTATTTCATAACATATAAAAAATATAAATTGGAAAATTCTCTTTACTTAAGACTTTTTTATTCATTTTATTTTTTAAAATTGAACTATAGTCAAATTAATAATTGCAATGCAATTAAATCAAAAATCTTTAATTCTATGTCTAAAAATTATTTATGATATATCTATGACATAAATCAATATAATTTGATATCTATTTGTCTTATATATCATACTAATAACAATTAATTTAATGAATTTTTATTTTATATATATTTAATACTTAAATAGAATTATTTAAAACAAATATTAATCTGGCATATTAAAAATCTTAATAATCATAAAAAGTCTTTATTAATTTTTATAAAGAAATATTTTTTCAGACATACAAATGAATTAATTTAATTATGTTACAAAATATTTAAATTTATTGCTGAAGTTATTTAAAATTTTTTTTTTTTGAAGTCTGATTATTAAGATCTTAGTAGATTCAATAAAAATGATGTATTGTACTCTTTGAATCACAAATATGTTATTTGTAAATCTGTTATATTAAGTATACATTTAAATTAATATATAATAGATATATTATATGAATGAAGTTCATATAAATCAATTAAAGAAGAATTATTAAATATGAGAAAATAAAATTAATATTTATAATATAAAAAATCTCTAAAATTTATCTTATTTTTTATCATTTTGTGATATGATATTATTAATTGAAAATATTATTAACAATAAAAATTTGCATAAAATAACAAAATACTTCGTTTTAATTAGTAACGCAAACAATAAGATGAGTTATTATAAAAAATTATAATGCAGTTGTTTTAAATATTTTGAATATTTTAGTAAAAGCTAAAGACTGGGATCATAAAAAGCTTTCATTATTTATAAATTGATAGAACATTCAAAAAATATTACATAAGTAAAAATAAACATAAAACTAATAAGTACAAGTAATTTATTGACTATCATGTATCACTTTAAATGATATTATCAATAATATATTATGAATTATTATGATATTATGATATTATGAAATTAATTTAATTCATTTATTTTATTAAATAGAATATTCATTAGAAAAAATTCATTAATTTTTTTTAATTCATTTTCAATTTTGATACATGATATTTTTTTTGCTACAAATACAGACAATGCACAATGATACAATTTTTTATGATTATAATATTGTTCTAATGTTACCTGTAAAGATCACGGACAGCTTGATCCTCTCGAGATGGATTTTGACATGTGTTTAATTTATTCTCCAATGCCTATATAATGAAATATTTGTTGTTAATTAAAATATTATTATTATTTTTAAGAATATTTTAAGACAAATCTTTAGAACTGATGATACCATCTACATGTATAATAATTTAAAGCAGGTAGTAAAAATCGTGATGTGTACAGAAGAAAATGCAGTATAAAGCAAAAGAAATCAAATAAAGACCTGTACACAAAAACTTGATCAGCACTTGGTTGATCTAGGTTGTTGCCATATACAATGAGGAGATGTATGAACCTGGATGGATGGTAAATCAGTAGGTGTAGTGGAAATTGTATTTTTCTCACCCAGACAAGTGCACTTTACCCTTCTGCACTCCATGCAGACCCATCTGTCAAGCTACCAAAATACCAGCTACATCATACTACAGATGTCTTTAATCACTATATTATCAAAGCATTTTATATAAATTGAACTGAATTATTTTGATAAAAATATTTTATATAAAATTTCTTGCTTAGAAAAAAAATAAAAGAAAAATAAATTTTATAAATTAATTGCAATGGAAAACTAAAATATATGTATAGCAACTAAATACATTTAAAATTCAAACAAGCCATGCTTTAAGCTACTTTTGTATATCAAGTGCTTTTAAAACAGAAATACTAGAGAGAGTGTGTGTGTGTGTGTGTGTGTGTGTATAAAATAATGATTATACTTACACCAACTTTCCTCATAAGATCACCAATCATATTCATTGCTAGTATTCTTGTGCATGGTGTCAGTGGTGGATTCACATTATTATTGTTATTGTTGTTTCCAGTTACACCTCCTACAACTTTGTTTCCAACTATTTGTAAATAGAAAAATATGTAAATTACAAATAATACAATATAATAATAAAAGTATTAAATTCATAAAAAATACTAAATTAATAAAACTATGTACAATAATATTAAAAAAAAAAATAAAAAAAAATTTTTTCTTGTCAGTAGAAAGTATAATATTTAGAAACTAAAATAAAGAACAGGTTTGTTAAAATAATTTTTATTTCATTAATAACAATATCTTATGTATATACAGAAAGATAAAATTAATTAAAACGCATGTTGAATTAATTAAAAATATGTTAATCAAGCACAAATTAGATTCAATCATCCTTAAGCACTGATAAATAAGCAAACTTGTTATCATAAAAAAAATTTCAAGTAATATACAAAAAATATATATTATATACATTAAAAAATGAATTAATTTCATCATTTTTTTTGTTTGTTATTC